TTTTAAGCACAACTGCGTTCTTCGAAGTTGACGTTCGTCACCATCATTAAATACTTAAAAAATGAAATGGTTCTAATGCCTTTAAAAAAAAAGAAAAAGAACAGAGGTTAAGAAAATAAACAAGCGCTTTCGAAGTCATTTTTGCTTGAAAAACTCACCGACTGTGTAAGTGCTGTTATCCTTTACATGTTGAATTACACCTTTTGAAGTTTCTTTACCATTAAGGACATCCACGGCTTGTCCAACTTCAAGGATTCCCTGCACTTGAGAATGATCGACAAAAATTGTAGAAAAAGGCGCCTCTTTCAAAACCACCTAAAACGCAGTATTATTTCAAAGACTAAATGCCACCATTGGCAACAGTTTTCAAAATAAATGGTAAATCCTAATACGTAATATAGGTCCAAAAAAGAGCCTAAGCTAAGCAAAAAGGGCACAAAACATAGGAAATAGAGAAAAATGATTTCTTAATTTACCAAAAACAAAAATGTTACCTTGCATTTCACTGATTTTGAAAACCTCTTTATCTTTGCCTCACAAAAGGCACCCTTGAACTTTGCACTCACTTCTGTCCCAACTAGTAAGAAAGCAGGATCATCAGACTAGAAAAATAAACAAGAAAACAATGACGGCCAAGAGCATATTTCAATAAAATACCGTTCGAGTTCAGAAAAACAAAATTTACATGAAAATTTAACAGTTTAAAAAACTTATCAACTGCTACTTGCTAAGCAGAAACCTTAGTATATACACTACAAAATAAAATAACAATAAGAAGAGACTAACACTTTTGAAAATCAAATGAAAAAGATTGTCATAAATAAACTTTAGCATCTTCCGTCTATCAAAATAAGCAACCATTAAGGAAACTGGAACTTATAGTGGTAAAAAAACTTACTTGCATGGCTTAAAGCTTCGTACTGCTTCCAGAACTTTCAAAAAGCGTTCCTCTTCACGCAAAATCAAGTAAATTCGGAAACAAGCGTGCAGATTCCAGCCAGATCAAAGTAATATGAACTGCCAAGCTTCATACCTCATCATTAACTATACACTCTACTAACACGCTACTTGCACACAACTAAAACATTGAATTAAGATCAATTCGGGTAACTAGGATAAGAGTAGCTAGCAAAAAACATCCGAGTTTATCACAGTGATGATCAATGCGCAGAAATTATTTTCACTACCACTGTTACCCACGTCAACAGTGTCAACAGACATGTGTAACAAAATAAATAACACTTAATTAAAACTTTAAATCACAAAATAAAACTAAAAAAGAAAAACTGAATAAATAAGTAAGAAGTGAAATCAATAATCACCAATAAAACAACTAAAATTTTAAAATTAAACGATAAAAGTAATACAGGTTTTGGATTACGATACAACAGAAATTTGTCACATGGAACAAGAAAGAAAAGATGGTATAAGACGTCTTATTCATATTCAAAAAAAAAAAAAAAAATTGCACCCCAAAAAAAGCGTGGTCATCACTTTAAAGAAGACAACAAATAGATAAATATGGGAGAAAAAAAATATTGTTTTTGAACTTATAATCTGAAGCAAAAAAAAATTTTTTTTTTGTTGTTCTTTTCTCTTCTTCCCTTTTTTTTCTTCTCCTTAAAAACTAGTTTAGGTAAGTGGCAAGAATCTAACGAACAACTGAGCGGATGTATAAAAAAACCTTATTGCTAAAATTTAAACAGATGATACTTCAACAATGCAAAAAAGAAAAAACTCAAAAACAAATAAACACGCACTCAAACAAATAACAACAACAACAACAAAAACAACCAAGACCGTCCATGAGCATTGGAAGCTAATGAGAAGCAACGAGTGTAAAAACAAAAAACAAAAGACAAAAAAATGTAAAAAAAAGAACAACTAAACAAAACAAAAGCAAAACAAATTAAAAGGAAACAAACGCGCACTTAAAAATCCGTCTCGAGTTTGTTCCCGCAAAAGAATATAAAAAACTATTGGCACACCGCCAATTCGCTTTTTTTTTTGAATTTCTAACGAATTTTACAACTGCACAGAGCAGTGCATTCGCTGGCAGATATCCCCCAACGCAGCTTTCAACCAAAACTGACAGCGTTCCAATCAGTTGCATTATAAATGCCCAAAAAAACTATACAGTTCTGTGGTGTGAGTGTGTGTGTTTCTGTATGCGTTTTTTTCTTTGTTTTTCATCAATTAGTTGTACATTTAATACCAATTTTAATATTGGTTACCTGTGTATGATGTTATTCTTTAACGTTACAGCTGATAAGTTTTGTAATTGACTTTGTTCTTTTGTCAGAAACGACATCAACAAAGACGGCAATAATTGCCGTACACTGAAGTTTTTTTTTCTTTTGCCACCAGTACAGTCCGCTTAATAATAAAGTAAGGAAGAAAAATAGCTTTTGCACTTCTGCTTTATACACCTGACTAGAATGTCTAATAATTTTTGCCTTTTTCTTTTTCGAAAGGTGGTGATTGTTAAAGTATTTTTTTCTTTCTCACGTACTTTTTCTTTTGTAGAGCGGTATTTGCTTGTGGTTTTTCGTCTGTTAATGTTTTGTCGGTGACTGGTACTAACGAGACTGCAGAAAAATTATTTACCCGTTGGTTACTGTCATTTCAAAGATTAACTACAAAGAAACTGTCTGCAAATTAAGCTGATGAAATAGTAGTGGTTTCACTGAGCAAAAAAAGTACTCTTTCAAACTATAGAATTTGAATTATTACATGCAAAAAAAAAGAGTAGAACAAAAAGAACAAAATGAAAATTAAAAATTGTTGGAAAAGGGATTTGGCGTTGGTTAACATTTCCCGGCCGACAGATTTACTTTTGAAATAAGCTGAAATTAGAATCTTTGATGCCAAAGGTTGAGATTGTAAAGTATAGGTTCTTTACTTCTTTATTTGAATGCAGTTTTTTTTATTGCAGTTGGTGACTGTAAGCGTGTTCCTTTTGTCAGTTTTTTTTTTATGTCTGAACATAAACGAGACTATCACCCTATTAAGCCGTTTGTCATGGAGGGACACCTATTTAAAGGTTTACCCACGCACTCGTAAATTCCTAAAGCTCCCCGTTACTATCATTTGTAACTTTTTCTTCAATTTACTCTAAATTTTAAGGGCTGGAGCAGTTTTGTAAAATTTTTAGAATGAGCATCTGCTGGTAAACAAAAGAGTTCAAATCGTAGACGCTGTTTTTGAAACTTTGTTCAAGATCTATTCCATTGGCAATAGCTGAATTTTTCTTTCATGATTTACAGTTAAGATTGCTGATCTTGTTACAATGCCGTGCGAATACTTAAATTTCATCTGAAAAGAATACACATTTCCAATCCTCCCTTTTTAGTCAGTAACTTTTATCTGATAAAGACCTGCAAATTGCAAAGATTATTTGGGTTTCTCGAGTGGTACTAGTGGAATTCACATGGCTTTTAAGACTTCGATTGTTCTCGCGTTAGACTGTGGGAAATCAATTATTTAAATTGGACCAGTATACGCATATACATCTCTGTGAAAAGCTGCTTGAGCATAAATTCAATGCATGATTGTTTTTACATTTCATTTTGGCTCAAATAATCTTATACTTCCATACTGGTACTTCAAAGATCGAAAACCCTCAATAAAAACTTGTGTTTTTAATGAAGTTTTTTGTAGGGAAGGTTTTGTTGACTGTAAAATGAAAGGAACAGTATTGTAGGTATGCTGGGGTGATTGAAGAGCAGCTTATAATTGGCGAATATCAGAATAGGAAACGACGAATACCTGAAGAGACTTGTACGACCAGCAATTTGCCGAGGCTTCGCTAATAATACATGCCACTTTCGCGATAGATACGGCGTCAAAACTTGGCAGTGACATGGGAAAGCAATATATTTTTAGGACTTTCATGTAATCGATATGGAGCGTTACCTGTAGCAGTTAGCAGGTAATTAAAAAGCCTAACACTGCTACATAAATTCATAGACTCAAAAAATGTTGCTTTAGTGACATAAATTTTACAGTAACATAAAATTTTGTAAAATAGCTGTTGTTCAGAACGTCTTGATTACTTAATAAAAAATTTTTTTTGCTTTATGAACACTAGACAATACATTCAACCTTTACCCAATTTATCTAGTTCTAGTCGATAAAATCAACAGCAGTTTACTTTGTGGAACATTTTTTCTTTTGTTTTTTTGGTGATCTAGCCAGGCATTTCATATACTTTTTGTATACCATAGCAGCATCTTTATCTTTTCCCATTGAAGCTTATCTTTCTTTTGCAAATTCGTTGTTTTAGTTGTCGAATTTTAATAGCGCCAGAACCTGCTTTTTTCCCCTCTATAAATTCCACTGGTTTTTTAGCACTTATTTTAATTGTGAAACTGGTAATTAGGGTCAAGACACAGATAGACTAAGAATAGATTATCAGATTGTTTTTAAACGGTTTAAAAAGCTGGCTCTAAACATCGGTAAAGAGAAAAAAAAAGTTAACAGTGCAGAAATGCAGCAGTACACCTGTGCAAAAACGTTTCACTTACGTAGCTGTTTGTCGCTGATAAAGTCTGGTTTTTTTTTCCCATCTGCCTATGACAAATTAAAGTTGTGGTATTCCGACAGTAGCTTTGTAAAGCTTTTGCAACTATTACATGACTGCCTTTCTATGTATCCTCATATATGCAACCCCATACAGTGCAGTATAAACAGCATCGCTTTGCAAATTTCCAAAAGTTAATCTCATTACCATTCCTATTCAGAATCACATTGATATTTCGACGACTACAGCCTTCCTGTGTCGAGGAAACGCAAAAATATATAGCGGAAGTAAAACGGGGCTCTAGAAAAAGATGAAATTTTGGATTTTTCTAAACGCTTAGGAATTATTCGCATGAAATTTGTTCAGCGGATTTTGAAATCTTCGTTTAGATATTTATGAGTACAAGTTCATTTGCCGTAGTTCACTCTTCATCGGGTACAGGGAACTTAGATTTCAGCTCACTAATACAGTCGCGCTTTGGCTGAATAACGGCAGAACGTTGGCAACTTCCCATAACACTTTTGTCTAGCGACTTAGCGTTAGATAATCGCTCTATTTCTTGTTTACTTGACTGACCAGTAAAATCGTAATTTCTTCGGCATGATCATAGTTTCGGGTACTGACGTCTTTGTTGTTTCTTTGGAATCTTGTTTCTATAAACTCAAGGCAATTATTATTGACTTAAAAAGTGATCGGGCGAGGAATTTGGGCGCTGAATAATGTATTTTTATAGCTGCAACTGTAGTATTTGCTGGAGAACATATGTTGGTTTTTTT